CCTCAGGCAGGGACGGGAATCGTGGTAATATTGGGAATTCTGGGAATTCTGGGAATGGTGGAACCCTGGGAACGGAGCTGGGCTGGCTCCTCAGGCAGGGACGGGAATGGTGGGAATCCTGGGAATTCTGGGAATGACGGGAATGATGGGAATTCTGGGAATGTTGGAACCCTGGGATCGGAGCTGGGCTGGCTCCTCAGGCAGGGACGGGAATGTTGGGAATGGCGGGAATTCCGGGAATGACGGGAATTCTGGGAACGGAGCTGGGCTGGCTCCTCAGGCAGGTACGGGAATGGCGGGAATGATGGGAATTCCGGGAATGACGGGAATGACGGGAATTCTGGGAATTTTGGAGGGATTGGGAATGCTGGGGATGTTGGGATATCAGGAATGCTGGGAATTCTGGGAATTCTGGAGGGTTTGGGAATGTTGGAACCCTGGGAACGGAGCTGGGCTGGCTCTGGAGACAGGTCTGGGAATCCTGGGAATGTTGGGAATTCTGGGAATGATGGGAATTCTGGGAATGTTGGGAATTCTGGGAATGTTGGGAATTCTGGGAATGTTTGGGAACGGAGCTGGGCTGGCTCCTGAGGCAGGTACGGGAATCCTGGGAATTCTGGGAATGTTGGGAACTCTGGGAATGACGGGAGTTCTGGGAATCCTGGGAATGTTGGGGATTCTGGGAATGTTGGGAATTCTGGGAATGCTGGGAATTCTGGGAATGACGGGAGTTCTGGGAATCCTGGGAATGTTGGGAATTCTGGGAATGACGGGAATTCTGGGAATCCCGGGAATGTTGGGAATTCTGGGAATGACGGGAATTCTGGGAATCCTGGGAATGTTGGGGATTCTGGGAATGACGGGAATTCTGGGAATGTTGGGAATCCTAGGAATGTTGGGAATTCTGGGAATCCCGGGAATGTTGGGAATTCTGGGAATGACGAGAATTCTGGGAATGGAGCTGGGCCGATTCCTGAGGCAAGTCTGGGAATTCTGGGAATTCCGGAGGGATTGGGAATGCTGGGAACGTTGAGATTGGGAATGTTGGGATATCGGGAATGCTGGGAATGTTGGGAATGTTCCCATTGCCGTCGTTCCCGTTCCCATTCTTTCCATTATTGCCGTTGTTCCCATTGTTCCCATTCCCATTGTTCCCATTCCCATTGTTCCCATTGTTCCCATTGTTCCCATTGTTCCCATTCCCATTGTTCCCATTGTTCCCATTGTTCCCATTGTTCCCATTGTTCCCATTGCCATTGTTCCCATTGTTCCCATTGTTCCCATTGTTCCCATTGTTCCCATTCCCATTGTTCCTATTCCCATTGTTCCCATTCCCATTGTTCCCATTCCCATTGTTCCCATTGTTCCCATTCCCATTGTTCCCATTCCCATTGTTCCCATTCCCATTGTTCCCATTGTTCCCATTATTCCCATTGTTCCCATTATCCCCATCGTTCCCATTCCCATTGTTCCCATTATCCCCATTGTTCCCATTCCCATTGTTCCCATTGTTCCCATTCCCGTTATTGCCTGTGGAATTCCCATTGTCATTCCCGTTGTTTCCATTCCCATTGTTCCCATTCCCATTGTTCCCATTGTTCCCATTGTTCCCATTCCCATTATTCCCATTCCCATTGTTCCCATTCCCATTGTTCCCATTCCCATTGTTCCCATTCCCGTTGCCATTCCCATTGTTGTTCCCGGTGTTGTTCCCGTTGTCATTTCTGTTGTTCCCATTCCTGTTCCCATTCCCGTTGTTCCCATTATTCCCATTATTCCCTTGGTCATTCCCGTTGTTGTTCCCGTTGTCATTTCCGTTGTTCCCATTCCTGTTCCCATTCCCGTTGTCATTCCCTTGGTCATTCCCGTTGTTGTTCCCGTTGCCGTTCCCGTTGTCATTCCCGTTGTTGTTCCCATTGTCATTCCCGTTGTTCCCATTGTCATTCCCATTGTTCCCATTCCCGCTGTCATTCCTGTTGTCATTCCCGTTGTTCCCATTCCCGTTGTCATTCCTGTTGTCATTCCCGTTCCCATTCCCGTTGTTCCCGTTGTCACTCCGTTGTTGTTCCTTTGTCGTTCCCGTTGTCATTCCCATTGTTCCCATTGTCATTCTCGTTGTCACTCCGTTGTTGTTCCGTTGTCGTTCCCAGTCCGGCTGTTCTCTCCGTCACCTCTCGCTGGCCGGGAACCACCTGAGGGACAGCGACGTCCTGGAGCTGGCGGGGTCAGGGACACCTGGGGACACCAAAACCCCCTTGGGGACACCCTGGGGACATCTGGGGACACCTTGGGGACACCTGGGGACATCTGGGGACACCTGGGGACATCTGGGGACACCAAAACCACCCTGGGGACACCTTCGGGAC